CCCTGGTAAGAAAATAAACCTAGTTGGGTTCTACAAATAGAAAATACTGATATATAAAAACAAGTTACCAAAAGCATATGGCAAAACTAATCTTCTTTGAAGGAATCTCGGACCACCTCAAAAAGTAATAAGTCATGAATATTAACTCTACTTTGTTATTACTCTTGTGCATTTCCTGATCCTCTTCATTGTCTTCAAGCTGTAACACTCCAACATGCAAACAACTGGTGTTCTACAAATGCAACATAGAATCCATTTAAGTTCTCTAAAATCTCATAAGTTGCAAGTGTAATCCATCTGATATATAAACTAATAAATTCAATTCCTGTGCTACATAAATTAACAATAAATATCTTCCATTCAGTGCACCATGCATTGATATATTAAGGCACATAGAAATAGCACTTCACATTATCAGGAACAATATTTACATCACAGAATGTGCTGAAATTTTAAATTACAATTCCAGAACAGAAAGTCTTAAACTCATTACCAAATAACAAAGTGTCAAAACCAGCCATGTATCAAAAACTGGCAAATACACAAGTGAAAAATAATGATGAATAAATAGATAATCAAAGAAAGTATCATCCTTTAACTTTTTGACAGCAAGTGGCCACCAATACAACTAACCGCCACGGAAATTGCTAAATGAGCATTAATTGAATCTTTTTTCGCTGTGGATAGGATATCTACCTCATAAACAGATGATATATGTAAAAAAATGTTTAAAAAATCAAAGAAATCTATCAACTGGCATCAGAGGGTTAAAACATGGCTATAAATAACATGCAATTACAGCACAATTCTTTCCATTCAGAAATACCACCTCAGCAATCAAAAGCCTTAGAAAAAAAAAAAAAATTACAACTCTCACAACAATAATTCGGTCACAACAGTAAAAGATCTCCTTAAGCAGACAAGAGTCTTCCACGAGACCCTCCCAGGCAATCCTCCCTTATAGTTCCACAGTGACGACTTCACTTTCCAACAGGCACTCCTCCTCACTTGCATCATCGTCTGCTAACTTGCTGGACTCAGAACGCATCACTCTCCTGTTGGTTTGATTGCTTCCTTTAATCAAAATAGTCTGTCTGGGGATCTGATTAGATTTCTATCTTCCAGAATCTTTTTAGGATGAGGAGGAGGGGGAAGAAGAAGGGGAAAAATGGAGGTGGAGTTGGAAGTAGAGGTGGAGATGGAGATGGAGGGGGAAGGGGAGGAGGAGGGGGAAGGGGAGAGAAGAGGGGAGGAGGAGGAGGAGGAGGAGGAGGAGGAGGAGGAGGAGGAGGAGGAGGAGGAGGAGGAGAGGAGGAGAGGAGGAGAGGAGGAGGAGGAGGAGGAGAGGAGGAGTAGGAGGGAGGAGGAGGAGGCAGTGGAGGGGGGGGAGGGAAAGGGAAGGTGAGGATGAGGAAGAGGTGAAAAAGGGAAGGAGGAGGAGGAGTAGGAGAAGGAGGTGAAGGCAGAAGAATAACGAGGTGGAGGAGGAGGAGGAAGAAGACAGAAGAGGAACAAGGTGGAGGTGGAGAAGGGTTACAGGAGATGGAGAAGGAGGAGGGGGAGGAAGGGGTGGGAAGGGTGAGGAGGAGGAAGAAGAAGAAAGAAAAAACAGGGGAAATCTCTTTGACCAAAAAGTAGAAAAAAAGTAGAAATACGCAAAGAAACAGAAAAACAAAAAGAATATGTAAACCAATGAATATAATAAAATCAACACATTCCCTCACCTGTGTACGTATCCATTAATCAACGAATCAGCTGACACAGCTCTCCGATCCCTTCTCGACAGTACACAGGCCAGGATGCCAATTAGCCCAACCAAAATCACTAAGCAACCTGTAATGATAATAACAAAACATGCTAATGATGGAGACAGTACAATACAAAAGATAATGATAATAATAATCACCATGAAAGTCTGTATCTTGTCTTTTCATTACAATTCTGTTTCTAACAATAGTAGCAGACATGTCAAACTTATAACCTCATATTTGTGACAATGTGAGAATACACAAAATGAAGAACACAGGGTGAAAACAATGCTTATATATCTGCCTTTAAGAGATGCCAACACAGAAGAATGAAACACATAAAATATATAAAAAGAAACTGCGAAATTACAAAAACATACATATATGCTTATACCGATATAGCAAAAATGTCAATAGCTTCCTTGAATATATTACATTAGGCTATCAAAATCACTGTTTGTTCTACCAATAACAAATGATGATAGACTAAAATATCCCAAAATATAATCTATACTCAGGCTTATTAGTAATACACACAATTAATTCTTATTTGTAACAATACTATCATTAATTCTGCATTTTTATGTTCTCCACTACAATCAAACAAATAAAAACTGATCTGAGACAAGCATAAAAAATTAGCAACATATGAAAAATCATTAAAAAAGTTAAAGGAATACCAGTGACAAGATCCCAATGTTTTCAGTATTGAATAAACACAATCTAATGCAGAACAAAACGGAAATATCAAT